TTTATATTAAGAGAGTGGAATGTCTTCTGTTTATACTGTAGTAGTTTAGATTAAGAGAGTGAAATGTCTTCTGTTTATACTGTAGTAGTTTAGATTAAGAGAGTGGAATGTCTTCTGTTTATATTCTAGTAGTTTATATTAAGAGAGTGGAATGTCTTCTGTTTATACTGTAGTAGTTTAGATTAAGAGAGTGAAATGTTTTCTGTTTATACTGTAGTAGTTTAGATTAAGAGAGTGGAATGTCTTCTGTTTATACTGTAGTAGTTTAGGTAGCTTAGTAGTAGCTTACTGTGTGTGTATGCCATTATTACCATTCTTTGAAGCATAATTTGTAGAAAAGAAAATATTTCAACGATTAGCTGTTAAGGCCCTCTATAGGTCCACTTTAAATCTTGCTATGAGAACTGCTAGGATTAAAAACCTTCTCGAGATTAGCAAGCGATGTTCCTTGAAAACAGATCTACCATTTCACACAAATATATAGCCTACATTCAATTTCTAAACATCTTCCGATTGGAACGTGGTAATTAGAAAGTTTATTTTTTGTGTTAAAATAAACCGTATGATATCAGAACGTGTTTGGGTATTTAAATATTCCATACAAATATAAAATACCCCTATTAAAATAATTACGTTTATTTTAGTCTAAAAAAGGCAACGAAACACTTTTATTTTGGCAAATCACGAAATCTTTCCTTTTCAGGTTCGAAATTCCCAAGATTTGTCGACTGTCTGAGCAAGTATGGACACTTCAAGGTAGAATACTTTGTTTACTTTAAGAACTTATAACCAGGTGTCATGCAAAAAAGCCAATTTAATAATCATTCGCACCTAAACAAAAAACATATTTAGTTTCAGTATTCACATAATGTATTGAAAAATGAGTAAGACTCCTGAACCTCTATTTCTGTTTGTAAGTGTATTTGTGTTACAGTTAGGGTTACTTTTTCTTATGCAAGTTATGGTTTCTCTGAAAGCGGTCCGAAGGCCGCCTGGAGGGTTAACCTGTTTTAACCTCTCCCACCACTATACAGTATGTGTTGTCTGTCAGTCAGTCAGTCAGTAGACTCTAAAATGACGTCATATAAGGGACGCTTAACGATACAATTTGCACTGTCGTGACGTCAGTAAAACGTGCGCATGCCACAAATCACGAGAAGAATGATATACTCTGTAGGCTACAACACAGCATGACATTTGGACTTCAAAATCAATAAAAAAAAAATTTGTTACCCTTGATTCTGGTTTTATTTACTCTTGCAACAGAAACCTTTCAAAGACTCTGCGGAAGTACTTCTAGTATATATATATATATATGAACATGAACATGAACATAATTTCACATACGTCTTTCCACAGTTGAATCAGACTTACTGGGAATGTCGTGAGAGGAGCTCCCCCAATGTCCACGATTCAAAGTTTTTCAAGTTTGTTTGCATTGACCATGGAGTTAGAAGAACGGTAGGTGTGTCATTGTTTTTTCTTACAACTTGTTTATTTAATGAGTGTTTAAAGTTTGTAATACAACAATTATGTTTATATATTCTCGCGTGAAGCCTGCCTTACTGCGCAGACTCGAATCATTTTGAAATTTTTTGTCTAAGCCTAAGTCAGTTAACGAGTGTCTTGTTCGTCCTGATGAAGCCGTAACGGCGAAACGTTGGTTTAAATAAAACAAATTATGTTTCTGAAGTAAAAAGTCGTGTTATATTTTTATTTTAAACTAAAAACGTGATTATTTGATGGCAAAATGTTTTTTCATGTTGCGTATTTATTATTCTAAACTTTGTGAGTCGGTGTTGTATTTTTGATCAGTTGAACGATATTAAAAGAAAACAAACGTATTTCACCATACAAAGATATCTTGAAGAGGTGGGCCCCGGCATAGCCAGGTGGTTAGGGCGCTCGACTCGCAATCTGAGGGTTCGAATCCCCCGTCACAACAAACATGTTCGCCCTTTCAGCCGTGGGGGCGTTATAATGTGACGATCAATCCCACTATTCGTTGGTAAAAGAGTAGCCCAACAGTTGGCTGTAAGTGGTGATGACTAGCTGCCTTCCCTCTAGTCTTACACTGCTAAATTAGGGACGGCTAGCGCAGATAGCCCTCGTGTAGCTTTGCGC